AAAAAGAATAATAAAAGAAAAAGCAGATATGTTGCTAGGTAATCGTGAGCAAAATCAAAAAGGTTTGGTGGTACAATGGGCTAAAATTGGCTGATTAGGATATTTAGCAATGAAGGAATAAAGGAAAAGACAGGTTTCTGAAAATAAAAACAATAATATCAAAGACAAAACTATTTAATATGGTATGTAATTGTTTATAAATTGGCAGTGAGATTTAGAAATTTGCACAATGGGGGGCCTTCTGAAATCCTGCCTAGGATGCCAAATTGGCTAGGGCCGGCCCTGCTGGTCAAACCATATTATGATGCCTAATGAGCAGCAGTGTGTGGTGTGCTAAGGTTGATACAATTCTGTTTTTTTTTTATTTTTTATTTTTAGGAAATGTAGCTAAAATGCCCAACCCTACATAATTATAAAATGATAGCAATAAAGAATATTCAGCTCTTGGTTTTGGTTACTGTAAAAACAAATAYACGTAGATACACTCAAACAGCCGGCCACAGAATGACTTTTTGGCCTGAAGTGAACTCACAGTTCCTGGTCTTGGGTAGGGGATGCGGCCCTGAAATGCCACCCACTGAAAGTTGGGTCCCTCCCTGTGGGCAAARGGCCCGTTGAAGACGGTCAGGATGTCTGCCATGTTGTACACACACACCGCGGAGCCTTTAAACACGGAGCTGAGGAAATAAAACGCATGTATCACATTAAACACCATAATGGGAATCTTGACTCATGTCTCAGAGAGGAAAATCATCCTTTCTCCTTTTTGTTTTTTAAATATTACAGTTTCTGAGAAAGTGTGAGTCGCACAGCCTGGAATGATCTGCCACTTCACGCCAGCCWGGGAAGACAGCTCACCTACTTCCTGCTCTCTATGTGATGTGGTTTGGCTCAAGCTTTTAAAAAGCCCCACACTGCATTAACACATAAAAGATGCTTTGTTGGGAGAGGGACCAGAAGCATATTGTGCAGAGCAGAGACAGGGAAATAAACAGAGTGGAAACAGAAATATTGAGCTCAGAAACCCTGGTGGACCTCATCAGTTGGTCTGTCTGTTTCCAGAGTGGGGTTACACCACTGTCAACTCTCTGTGGAAGTTCTTTTTTTTTTTTTCCATTTTGGTTTTGTTTATAGATAACGACAAGGAGGAACCTATTGTGTGTTTTTGTACATTTCAGGTTATATTCGAATCATTTTATACCATGGTAAGACCAGATCCRTTTATTTTTTGCGTTGTCACCTTTAAAACCTTCGTTTTCCCCAAAAACATTACATTTTTTGATCATAAAAAACAAATAAATTAATTACAACTCACAAAATCAACAATTGAATTAATTGAATTGAACAATTGAATTGAATCAATTTAAACTTTTAGCTTTTTAATCACCTTCATTGTTTTAATTTCAGATTAGATGAACAAAAAGACATTTTCAAGTTGCTATTTAAATTACTTTACAGAAAAAAATGCAAAAATAATTATTTGGACTTTAAACTGAAATCGACATGAAATGTGTGATCAGTTGATGAAATAATTGGCCACATGAATAAATGAAACACACATGAAACTGTAAGAAATATTTGTGTTCAAAGACTGAAGTCAATAGAAAACCACCACTGTTAAATATTATGATTGTTAGACRGAATAAAACCATAAAAAGCAGAATTCTGGAGCGAGGGTTTACTGTCACCGGAGCTGACAACCACACACTGCCAGCAAAACAGGAAGTTGATCCATTTATACAGAGTTTTAAATGCTCGCGTTCGCCCCCTGCTGACCTACGGCTGAATCACAGGCATTCATACAAAATTCTCATCTACTGTTCTCATAACGGTTATGTGTTGTTATAGATATTTYGGACATGTAACTAATCTATATCAATCAACCTAAAAATATAGTGTTGTGCTTTTAACATCAGTACTGAACTCTAATAACTATAAATTTCTTCAAAACACTATTTTATTTACAGTTTAAATCAAACTATCRGCTTACACCATTTAGAGAWATGTAAAACTAGTTAGCTAAYATTTATTCGATTACAGGCCGAAATTTGTTATTAAAAACTTATATAACTARCTCCACCTTAAATGGTCTGATAACWACCGTGTTAAACTTCCAGTTTGCAAAAATTAAAATGACSAAGTGTAAAACAAAAATAGAATAACTATCCATTTGCGATATCTGTWTTCAAAACAAGAATCAATTGACCAAAAAGTATACGGACTGGAACACATTCATAGTATTATTCTAGTTTCTTCAATTTCTATTGTTTTTAAATAAAATTGTCAAATATTTTTGAGTGTCTGTGATGGTAATCTAAATTAGATTTGTGGGCGGGGTGGTGGATTGTTCGCCCAGGGCACCATGCAGGCTAGGACTGCCCCTGGCTAATCTTACAAATTCTTTATGCGCACAAAAAACACTAAATAAATTCTACACTTCTAAAAGACACCACACTATTTACTGAATGGCATACAAATAAAAACACATAACTCATCGAAACATGACGTGTGATGACTGTGTTTAACAGACACGTTGGTTTCTGCTGAGAACCCGACAGAACCACAAAACCCTGCAGAAATGTTACAGTTGGCTCCATCAGCCTCACCTTGTGGATGTGAAGACTCCAAAMAGCAACAGGCCTTTGGGCTGATCCGTTTCCAGCAAAAACACGCTCTCTGGAAGGGAAAACACAGAGGTTTAGACACATATTTCTCCTGGTTTAAGCTAAAACCRATATCTCTTCCTTTCCTTCAAATAAAGGATGCCCATTAATTCTGAACTCGAGTTGATAAAAGCATGTTTTGACAGAGTGGGGTCGGGATAGAAAAGCTAATATAAACACAGGGTCTGCATTGTCAAAGAATCTAACGAAAACCTCAAATCCGAATTTAAACGAAACTTCGGAAGTTCCGTGAACTGTTTATGGAAAAATAAGCTGCTGGAAACTTTAGAGCGCGTTTTCAAATTATGGTGTATTTGGGTTTCTGGTGAGTGTGCTTCCTGTAAGTGTGTTATAAAGTTGAGAGACGGGGACGTCGAGGTGAACTGGTCCCCCGCTGACTCACCGAGTTCATCAAAATGGGTTTCTGTGCCGTCCTCCTCCAGCACCGAGCACACCATCCTGGCTTTAAGGAAGGTGGTCCACTTGTTTACGAGGCTGCGCTGCCCTCCAATGTCATTCTGAAGACAAACAGAAGCAGAGTGTAGACACTTGAACCCATCAATCCTACATTATCGGTTTGTTCAGGGGCAGACAACACTCACTGGGCACACTCTGGCAACCATGGTGTGGATGTTTTTAGTGTTTCCACTGTTGTCTGTCAGTCTCTCCCGGAAAAAAAAATACAATTTGGCATCATTTGGGTCCGTTCCGTCTGGGATCAGGTGGGCATCAATAAAAATCGGCTCTGAATGAAACAAACAACGCAAAAAGCTTTATGACAACGACTTCATTTTTATTTTTTTAATGTGTAAATCTATATTTCTGCTTTCTCACCACTCAGCCATTTAGAGTTGTGCTGATCTGTCCGCACTGCGTTCCTCCTGGTGAGGCTCCTGAAGATGGCAGCATCTGTCCCCATAAAGTCAATGTACATGCCAGAGAAGAGCTCCTGATCTGGAAACACACACACACACACACACACACCAGCTTATCAAGCATTCACATTATTATTATTATTTTTCATATTTTTTTCTTCCGTACATCTTTTGGCACGTCACTGGTTTGGTCATTTTTGTTCCATTTCAACAATTTATATATCAAAACMTTCAGCTACTGCAGGACATATCAGCTATGATATTTGGTACTGCAGCAACTTATACTTTTTGAGATATTTAGCTTTTTCAGCCACTTTTATTTGCTCATTGAAAATAATGGATTTGTAAACATCTGCAAAACCCTTCAAAATGTTCATAAAGCTTTAATGTTTTTTACATTTTGTTCTGTTTCAGCATTTTAATATTTATTTGTGTAAATGTCAGATTCGTTTGGTTTCTATTTAGCTGATTTTGTTTTTTTTTCTACATTTTTAGCTATCAGTCTGACATTTTCTGCTATTCTGCTAATTTCAACTTTTTTTTGTTCTTTTCACTTTCACTGCCCTCAACTTTTTCTTCCCCTTTCAGCTATATTTCTACTTCTTTGCCTTTTTTTTAGGATATTTCTGCATTTTTCAGCTGTCCTCTGTCCCTTGAAGCTTGTATTTTCACAGTTTGGGTTCTTTAGCAAATTTCAGCAATCATTCAGCTAATTTTGGGTCCACCTCAAGTGTTAAAAGTCAGCAAACATTAACAGTTCAGCATTTAAAAAATACTGCAACTTCTTCAGCAGCTGTCAGCTAAATTACGCGTTTTCCCGAGAGATGCGATTTCTCTAGTTCTGTGTTTTTATTTCTTAGATTCCACAAAATTATTGAGAACATATAGATTTATGGCAACATTTTATTCTATAATTAGTTACATACTGCTTTTCTTTCTCTTTATTTTCTCCTGCTTTCAGATCATGTGTTTTAAAACTTAACAATGAAGCTACGTTTGCTGAATATTAGGCGTTGACAGTATTCGGATGGCCACAGGGGGTCCAGAAATACGCTGATCAGAAGTTTCRAACTTCTTTAACACGAGGCCAGCACTGCCTCTGGTTATATTCTGAGGCTGGAAGTGCTGCATCACTGCTTTCACGGCACTCTGTTCGACCTCCGCCGCATGTGGCAGATTGACTTCCTTCCTCTCCCTGTRGGTTATATATTCCACTCTGGCTCTCTCTACGGGATCTTGGGCGAGGCTCACTGGCTGCCAGAGCTGCTGCTGACACGGCAGTGCTCGTGTGTCGGAAAGCAGKAGCTGCAACGAGGGCGCCGTATTTCATCTTTGTGTCGTCTAAAAGGCAACCCAACACCTCCTCGGCCAATCGGATCAAAGGAGWGTGTTAGCCTGAAAGAGATATCAGCCTCTGTGAATGTTGTGTGTCACTTTTAGCTACACTGGAAATCTCTTGATAAACTATATACAGAAACACAGAAACTGTGATGATTTCTCTTCGTTTAATTTTAGAATTTCCTGGTGTAACAAAGTGCTGTGGTTCACTAATATAGAGTATGTAAAACTGTTTAAATTTTGTTTAAAAGTTCACACATTTAAAATATAAGAAATCGAGACTTTAATACTCATAACTTAAAATATTTTTTTAAATATAAGCAATTACTGTGTTTGTCTTTCTGCAAGAAACACTTTTGGTCCCTCAGGAGCAACACAATTATTGAACATTAACAACATTTTTATTCACAAATGCAAATTAAATCTTAAAATAGCCCTATGTGGCTCAAAATACGCATTTGATTTCAGTCTGCAAAGTGTTAAAATAAATGATAAATTTGACAAATTATTCAGTTCATTAATTTACAGTATTTGATACTGATCTACAGCAAACAAAAACAAAAAAACACCTGCTGTCTGACACACACACACACACACAACAAATTATTCAGTTCATTAATTTACAGTATTTGATACTGATCTACAGCAAACAAAAACAAAAAAACACCTGCCACTAAACTTGATGGAGTGCTGAAAATTAAAAAGCTCTATCAGGCAGGAGACTGCAGTGTGAGTTTAGCATCTCGTGTGTTTTTTTAAACTCAAGGTCTGCAGGCCAAATGTGGCCCACCACAGCCTTTTATGTGGCCCACGACAGCTACAAAGGTGGAGGTGAACATGGTTCAAAAGTAGCCGACATCCGGCGAAATTCACCTTGTAAAATTTCCATTTAGTGACATTTTCGACAGCTACTTTTACAGTGGCCCAGGTGTACTGGGAAGTGGGAATCTCCCCACTTACAAGTCATAGATTCTTTTTTTTTGGTGTCACTTCAGTAGAAAATGAAACCAAATATTAGTTTATTTAGTTTATTTATTTCTTCATCATCAGTGGCTTTTTTTAAGTGAAGAGAAAATAGAGACAGAGAGAAAAACAGAGAGAGAAGTAATTAGAAAGATTGAAATAGCGATTAGGATTATATTAAATATACACCAACAAAACACAGGACCACACACCCAACATCTGTCCGCTCACCTGAAAAATAAATCGATAAATACATGGATGGTATATATAAATATATACACATACCCATACATATATAAAGATATACATACATACATGCCTACATTCATAAATATTGTCTGTATAAACCCATAGACATGTATACACACTCAGTGACCAGTCAGAACCCCCCGGATCAGAGCACCTGTTTGTGAGCAGTTGTGAACATRCGTGTATAYACAAGATTTCTCCAATGGAATATTTAATAGTGACTGTGGAGGATCGGAGACCCAACCCCCAAGACACGAGGCAGACATAGGGAAGACCAGAGCCCAAGGGCCTGAGAGGAATCCCGAGCGCAGAGCCCCAAGGGGCACCCGCACGGGAAGATCCACCCACCCACCCCCCAGATCAGACCATAGGGGAGAACTGGGAGAGTTCCCCCAGCGACCACACGCACAGCTCCCGGGGCCAGCAGCGACAAACTCATGGGCCCCACCGGCACCCGCCATACCAAAGCAGATCCAGGAAAGGGCACAGAGGTCCGGGCCCCCAGGGCGCACCCCCTCCAGGCCAAAGCCCGACAGGTCCAGAGGCCCCGAGCCCCAGCAGGCAGTCACCAGGCCAGGCCGGCACACACCCCACCGGGGGGCTGAGTAGCAGCGGGCCCCCAGATAAATCAGCAGGAGGGGCAGCCCAGACCGCAGYCTGACAAATACCCAAACATACACAATCGCACCATCCCACCCTCATCCGCACCCCCACTCAATCAAAGACATACAAGGACGCCACATTCCACTCATACCCCCRATACACACTCTATACCCCCCAGGTCCAGGACATGTACCCACCCCCTATTGGAGGCAGCACACACCCGAAACCAGGAGGTAGACCCAATCATTCTGAGGTGGAGAGGAGCAGATAGCCAAGGCCCGGCCCGGGCCGCACCAGGACGCCCGCCCTTCTTCAGGACCCCCTCCCCAAATGGCAGTCGGGGAACAGGATGGGAATAAAGACCCTGACACACACCCCCCCACCCCCAGATGTACTGTTGGTGACAAGTCATAGATTCTAACTGGAATGGCCCTCCAATGGGAATCCAAGAAGGCAGCGACTCACGACAGTGAAAATAACTCTCTTACTTTTAAGGATATTTTCATTATTTATTTCACATTTAGTCAGTTGTACACATAGTAATTTTAAGTGTTTATAAATGATGTGTTAAAACACTGTTTCTGTGCACGTAATACCACATAGAGCTCAGTTATTTGTTAGTGGTGCTCAGGTTTAACAATTAGATGAGTAACGTGATGTTTTGTGTTTAGTCAAATTTAAAGATTAAACATCAAAGTTTATTACAACTGGCTCTTTGAGGACCACCATGATGCTCACGTGACCCTTAGTGAAAATGAGTTTGACACCTCTGGTTTACATTATGATCCACAAGGTGAAGTCTTGTCCAAAGTTTCAAACCTTAGGTAAGCACTACACAAAACTTGTAGCTCGCCCTACTCTTCCACTCGGGTGGTCCCATTTCAGTTCTAATGCTGGTCCACCACCAGAAGCYTGGGAGCTAAAGGGTTCTACAGAATATTTAGCTGTTCCTATGATCGGGCTCTTCTGGATAGAAATCTCTGAGGTTGTTCCTGGGATCTGTTGAAGCCAGTCTGCCAGTGTTCCAGTGACCTGTGGGACCACTGACACTTTGACTCTCCACAACCTCTGTATTTCCTTTTTCAGCCCTCTTATAAATAAAAATTAATAACTCTATCCCCTCAGCAGATTTTTGTTAATGAGCGATGCTCTGAAGCCAGAATTAGTAATGGTATGAAGGTATAATAATTCTACTGACGTTGGTAACTTGCACATCTGAGATGTTATCAGTACCAAATAATACACAAATTTTAAAGAAGGTAATTTGTGCATTGTACCTGTCTCTGTAGAAAAATGATGTTAAAAGCAACCCTTTTTAGGGTCAGTACTTAAGAAAATCAGGTTTACTGAGGTTTTGAGAGWAGTTAAAGGGATGAAAGCACCTACTGATCATGACAGAGACCGTGTTCACTCGAGGGTTAAACGAGCACCTCCCTTTTCCTGGTTCAGTCCTCGAGTCGAGGTAAAATACTTGTTCCTGCCACAAAGAAAGAAAGAAAGGAAAAAGTCAAAGATATCCCGTGGCTTCTACCACAATTAAAGTGACAGTGAGTGAAACAAATGTCTCACAAAGCAGACAAGCTGTTCCAATGGATTTAAAGGATGCACAGAGACAGGCCTGCCTTAGCTTACCTTAACTGGCCCGTACGGACCACTAAAGAAAAAAAAATCTATTTTAGAGGAAGGGAGGAATTTCCATGCTGATGTTGCAAACACACCTCTTGTGTCAGAGTAACCTGAGAGAATCACAACACTTCCTGCCCCATCCAATAAAATGTGGCCTGTTGGATGACATCAACTGAACAGAAATATTTCAGGAAAGTGAGTCTTGTTTTGACAAAAACTGATGGAGGAGGAGACAATGCAGCTGGCAGGTTCTGGTATGGTAATGACTACTAGAACCTGCAAAAGGAAAGCATTGATCCCTCAAAAAGACAGACACAAAACAGCTTTCATGTGCAAATGACATGTTGTCTCCATCCTATTGYGTTTCAAAATACCGTAACCGCTCGGGACACACTTTCAGAGCAGCAGTCAACTCCAAGTTCACCAGCGTCTTATGTCTAAGAGSTCTTTTCTCGTGACACTGACATGACTGAGCTCAGGGGCTGCGAACAGAGYGGTCTGCCTTTTCGAACAAAAGCCCCTGTTTTGACAAAAGGCACCATGGTGAGAGCAGAACCCGGCTTTCTCTGCTTGTTAGCGTTTGGCAGCAGTCGRCGGGTGAATATCTGCACTTTTCTCCTGGAGGGCTTTTCCTGCTCTAACTTCCCGAGCTGCATGGCCGGATATGAGAGCCCAGAAGAAACCAGGCCCCATTTTTCTCCCTATTACTCTCCCATCTCGGTATGCAACTGGTGCACTGGTTCCTATGAACGTACAGATTCTCACACATGGTGACACTTAACTCATGCTGTGATGGGATTATWGCACTTTATTTGTTCTTAATTCTTATTTTTGCAGACGGCAGGGGTGTAGTGTCATTCCTAGCCTCTGAGTTGTGGTTTATTCCTTCATTTCYTTTAAAAAAAAAAAGAAAAATTATGAACCCACCTCTGGTCTTCGGCCCCTGTTGATGTACACGCAAACTGGACTGTACGCTCCACTGCCACACATAAACAGGTGAGTTCTGTTGTACGGCTGCACCACCCGGACGAAGTTCCCACAGCCATGCTGCGAAGCACAGATAAACAAAAGAAACATGTAAACACTCTGGTACAGAAGTTTACTTTAAAAACAATCATTTGTCATAACGAACTTTTATTACGAGTCTTTTAAATGATACACTGTTACTCTTAAAAATCCAAATTTTAAATATAAAAAGGCAACCGTCGCTTCGTTTGTTGTGGCTCTACTCACATGGTCCAACTTGATGTGTCAAAGTGTGTGTGTCAAACTCAAGGCCCGTGGGCCAAATGCGGCCTGCCTCAGCACTTTATGTGGCCCGCAARAGCTTCAGAGATTTATTAAGGTCTTAAAATAAGTAAGGATGTCCCAGTATCAGTTTTACTTAAACCGAGTACAAATACACCAGTTTGGGTACTCACAGATATTGAGTACCAAAACTGAGTATTGACTGAGTTAGAACCTGAACAGTGATTTTAAAAACACATTTCTTTTATCGTTATAAAAAAAAGACGGGATCAAATCAAGTTCGCAGCATGGTACACTGTTTCAWGATTTTAAAATTAATTCAATTTTCTTTCAATATGCATACATTACTTAAACATGGAACTAACAATTTTTTTACTAGAAATAGTAACACATTGAAATTAGTATAGATACTAGTATATGTATTGGTTCCAGATATCGGGACATTTTGGACGAGTACTTATAAAACTGCAGGTTTTACGCCCAATACACACCACTAACAATAAGCAAATGCTGTTTTAAAGCCAGCATTGATCATAAACGAWATCACCCATAATGCATGTCAATTATTTTACCCATGAAATGACAGCATCCTACCACTAGATGGAGCTGCACAGGGTTCAAAACTGGCCAGCAGCTGGCAAAATTCAGTATAAAATCTCAATTTTGTTGCATTTTTGCTGACTACATTGGCTGGAGCCCAATTGTACTGGTAAGTGGGAATTTCCCACTTATAAGTCATAAATTTAAACTGGAGCACCCCACCAAGTGGGAATTCCGTATTGTTTTATTTATTTCACATTTAGTCATTCATATACAGTATGTTGTGCTTTTCAGTGTTTATAAGAAGACATGTTAAAACACTGTTTCTATGCAGGAGATACCAGGTAGAGCTCAGTTACTGTTTGTGATACCCCTGCTTTAGATGTTTGTAGCACAAAAGCCATATCTGATTGCCATTTTGTAAYGTGTGAACAGAGAATGTTACATTAATAAACAAAACAACTGCAAGTAAACCGGCTTTTATGAAAATTTGATTATTTTCTGATCCAAGCAAATCAGATCATGTTTCTGGTATCCACTTAGTGTACCAAAGTTATCTCTACTGTTATGACAGACGTTGCGCAATTAAACAACACCAGTARAAACAAGTCAGAACATCCGTTCATCTCTTTGCTTTCATTTGCCAAACTCAGTAGCGGCAAGACCGCTGTAGTTAACTTTGGCTCAGCTTCCAGAAAATGAGATGAAAAAAGGAAGGGAAGAGGAGAAAAGTGGGGCGGTGCAGTGTACCGGGGGAGCTGTCAGGATTTTGGACATGACTGTAGAACAGGCAGCTGCTGCAGCTCATAGCCGGTGCTCGAAACTCCACGGAGACCCATCAACAAATTGCAACTGAACATTTTACCGTCGCACCCATTTGCGTTATTTATCGCCATCCTCTTCTTTTCTCCCTGTCAGTTCTGCCTTTCTTTTGGCTTTTATTGCCCGTTCTTTTGAAAACACACCCACACRGAGCCTGCATTCAGATCAGATCAGTCCTACAGAGTCACATGTGTATACACGACCCAATCCTTTTTTCGTTTTCCTCTCGTGGTTCCAACCCAAACGTGCACAGCCTGGAGCACCTTTGAACTCGATGCATTCACCCAGAGTTTAAAGTGAAAACAGCAAATTGATTTTAAACAATCTAGCTAGTCTACATTCAGTCTCTGATGGCCCCTTCCACCACAGCACTGCTCTCTGGAGCCCCATTGAACCACAGATCTTAATGGAGAAAAGGAATTTAATWTACAGATGGAGAGGGCGACCATTACAGATGCATGGGGGCTTTATGTGGCAAAACGAAAAGCCTTTGAGAAAGAAGAAAAACTGAGGAACAACTGATCAAAGGTAGAAATAAGAGACAGAAACTGAAACTAAAAACGTGGACGGAGTATAAAAACGACAGCAGGGGGAATGTGGGGGCTATTCTGCACAGAAATGACTCAAATATTTTTAGGGAGGCTGTCTCCGGAAGATGTGCAATTAATCAGAGCTACACAAATCACTGGGTTACTGGAAACAGTTCTTCCTCTGCTTCTCCCAGGGACGTCAGATTTGGGTAAAGTTGGATGAACACATAGCATTCTTAGCAGAGTCATGCTTCTGCATTAAATCTTAATGCATCGTCTGCTCTGAATCAGTGGAATCCTCCAGGCAGTACGTTTGTTTTCATYGCTTTATAGTATCTTCCTGAAAAATCTGCAGCTTTTAATTGTTGCACAGCTTATTCTTGGACTGACAGTYCCTGCCTGCAGGACTCCAGTCGTTGACCCTTTGCACATCTGCTGCTGGATCTGGCACAAGACAACAGACACTGGAGAAAATCCAGAAAGACAACGTTTTTTAAGGAACAGGAATGGAAACGGCTATGAGATCATTAATTTTGAGTTTGACCATTAGGCTAGAATCATTTAAAGCCCCTTATACATTTAATTTACTCTAATATTTCATTAGCAACCTAAGTGCTAACTGCAAAAATGGGTTTTAAGAGGTCATAAGAAAATTAAAGGGTAACTTATTCACCACACAAACACCAAATATTACTTTATCTACCATTTATTTGTTTCTCATTTAGGATTACTTTTGATCAAAATCCCACAAGAAAATAACCAGAAAATGATTGCTTTAAAAATGTAATCCCTTTATTTTGTTTCTGTAAGGCAGCACTGAAATAATGTATTTATGTCTTGATTCAAACTTAAACGTTTTTGCAATGGTCCCAATGTTTTCTTWGAAAATTGTTCAGTTTTTCCATTAGTTTCAGTGTAGCAACATTCAGTCATTGTCAGAAGAATTGGCCGTCTTTGGCTTGTGATTGGCTAAACAAAGTTCCCACCCCCTCAAACTATATAYCAAATGAAAGGTAAGGTGGTTGGCTACACAGCTGTAGCATCAAAATGAAGCTCGGAGCTGATTGGCCAGTTCTACAGTCAATCTAGCCCACGGTGACACAAACCGGAAGTTGGTCATTTAAATGAGGTGTCAATCAAAAGGGGAGAACCTAAACATAAATCTTGAGCKCTTATTGGTTGTTTTTCTCACTTTAGAAGCCGTGTTTCACGTCTTAAATGAAAGTTAAAGTAAAAACGGAACACGGGCGTTACGGTGCGTGCTAACTGGTGAGTAGCTGAGCAAACRTAAATGATGTCCAACTCAAGTGATAAACCATTGTTCTTTGTATATCAGGGGATTCAAACTCATTTTCACTGAGGGCCACATGAGCATTGTGGTGGCCCTCACAGGGCCAGTTGTTATTAACTCTGACGTTTTGCGATTAACTTTGACCGAACACGAAACTTCAYGTTCTTTGTCTATTTATTACACTGAGCACCGCTAGCAAACAATAACTGAGCTCTACATGGTATTAAAAGCACAAAAAACAGTGTTTTAATACGTCCTTTTATAATCACTGAAAAGTACTACATGTACAACTGCTTAAATGTGAAATACATAATACAGAAATACTATTAAAAGTTAAGTATGAGAGTTTAACTAAGTAGTAGAGTAGTGGTGAGTAGATGCCGTCTTGAATTCTGAACTCTCCCACATTCCAACAAGAAATTCCAACTGGAGGGGGCATTCAAGTGTAAATTTACAACTTGTAAGTGGGAAACTTCCACTTCCCAGTACAACTGTGTTGTTGCATAAGTAGCTGGCAAAAATCCAGTGAAATGGAGATTTTGGTAAATCTTGCCGGATACTTTTGAACCTTTGCAGCTCCACATAGAGGTGAGATGCTGTAATTTCACAAGTAAAATAATCAACATGCATTATGGGAGATGTAGTTTATTGTCAATGCTGGCTTTAAAGCAGCATAAGCTTATTTGAGGACGTTAACACATTTTTGCGGGCCACGTAAATTGCAGTGATGGGCCACATTTGGCCTGCGGACCTTGAGTTTGACAAATATGCTCGCTCTATATCAATCCCTTGAAATTGAAGTAGCATTTAAAATAATTCAATCTGAAATGTTGAAGTGTATAACTCAAAAGCTCAAAATCAAGTAAATTTCCCTTTTATCACAATGTAAGTGTGATCTTGTTGTCATTGTTGTTTTTTCTTATCATTATTTTGGTGGTCCAGAAACAAGCCACAAAAACAAGATTGTGCATAATTAATATTATTATTTAAATGATTCTTACTGTTGGGTCCTTGCCTGCCATTTGACATTCGTCTATTTTGCTTGTAGATGCAGGCCAAAACATCTGGAGACAAAAACAAAACAGCGTTTGAATCAGTGAATGAATTTCCTGGTAACTGGAAACTGAAAGATATAAAAAAAACTGTTTTAATATCCTCTGTGCAGAAAAATCCCAGCAAACAATTGGGTATAACAAATAAAAGGGATCTTCTACAGATACGTCCCAGTGTCAGTAATTGCAGCGAGCTGTCATTTGTGGAAAATGTGTTTTGAAACTCAAGAAGTGTGGGTTTAAAGGTCCRGAACAATGAATATATTATGCAGTTTCCAGAGAAAATAAGTGACCCTGTCAGCACTCTCAGGTGAACCTAAACACTCTCTCCTCTGTTTGTGCACTTCAACTCTGTCAATTGCACAAGAGATAATTCCATCACWGCATTCAGAATTGATAATAAGAGTGCTAGCTGATCATGGCAAATAAAAGGTAATTTGCATATAAATGCATGATTACTTGAATAATTTTGCAGCAGGAGTTTTAAATCTGTTCAGTTGTTTTATTATTTGTTGTTAAAGTGGGGGAAAAAAATGCCAGGACTGTGGATGATTTTCTTTTCGAAGCACTAACCAGAACCATCTGCTAACCTTTARTGTGCCATGGGTGATGTTGTTGAGGTCCATGGAGAGAACGTGGTCCTTGCAGCCCACATACATCCTGTCCTGGTCCTCATCCATGTGAAGGATCCTGTAGTCCATGGCTTTGTCTGATATGTTGTAGTGCTCAAAGGACTGGGAGGCCTGCAGGTCTGAGAGGCACACGGGGAAGAAAAGGCAGAATGAAACATTCAAATAAGTCTCTGTCAACACTGGGATGGGGAAAATCTCTCTCCAGTTCCAAAATTAAATTCACAACAAACAGAGGCAAGAACGAGATCTGAAAAGAAAACAGCGGATTGTAACTTTTAGGATTTGGCGGCTGTTCTTTAAACACGCCGCAGTTCTCATGCCGGGACTACAGCTGACACCAGATATTTACACAGGCTGAAAGGCGGTTTAAAACTACAGCGCAGGCATCGAAGACAATACTAGAACAGAAGGTCACTGGAAATAAAAAATAAATAAATAAAACAATCCTTTTTGTTCAGATGAGCCTAAGTAGTGTACTCAATCTGCCAGGAATTCAAGAAACAAATCAAACAAGGTGAATTCTTGGTGCAGACAGGGCTGTAGTCAAGACCACTTAGTGGTGAGTCCTAAAAAAGATAAAGTCTAGGTTTAAGAAATAGGTCAAGATCCAGCTTAAACAAACTCAGAACCTAATCTAAACTGAAGCCAGAGCAAAAAATGTACTTTTTTTTACTTTCTAAGCTGCTTTCTGACAGAGTGGGCCAAACTGATCAACCAGTGCACGTCGCAGGATTTAGAACATGGTGGGTGTGGCACCAAATTTTGTAAAACAACTTTAAACGTTGTTGGAGTAACCAAAAAGGAATATTTTAAATGATGTAATGTGAATATAATATATCTTTAGAAGATGATCCACCACATTATATGTCTGCTTTGTGATACTCTCACTTGGGTTTCAAAATAATGTACAGTAATTACCGGATAAAAAACCCTATACCTGCTTCTCGGTTAGTTATTTTGTACATTGTTTGGCACTGAGTTGTTCTACATTTGGTGGATATAATATGTGTCAAGTCAAGCCATGATGTATTCTTATTTATAAAATACAGTTTTGAAAACGTCTACTTTAGGTTCTGGTAATTAATTTCAAAATATAGATGCCTCAGTCTCTATTGCATCTGATTCTCTATTAGTTTGAGTTTTACGACGTACACAGTTTAGGCGCCTCAAATTACCTGTTGGCATTTTTGCATCTTAAAAGGCCCATTCTGTCCCAGCCCAGCCCCATTCCACTGGGYCTAATTTACCTGGCCCTGGTTGTGTGCTTGCTTTAAGCAGAGACCTGCCTCAATATGGGCGGGATCATCAAATCAAAAACACGCMAATCTTATTTCGTTTCATTTCAACAAACCAAGATCAAAGGAAAAGTACCAAAGCCTGTACTGGACCATCCTGCAGGATGCTGCCGAAGACAAAAAGGGCAAACYGACAGAGACCGGTAAGCTAATGGTAGCTAATATTCAAAAAGAAAAAATAAATAGGTCCTCTGGATGGGTTCTTCTTAAGTGAAACTCAGCCTTATAAGCCCTGCCTCCACCTGGACAAACAGGTTAGTCACATGCAAAAGAGGGCCATCGCCTAACAATAGGCTTKWTTAGMTYTATTTARTCACATGCAAAAGAGGGCCATCGCCTAACAATAGGCTTGATTGGCTCTATTGTTCATAGAGGGTCATGTACCCCATCACCTGACCCGTGTCGTGTTATGTGTATGTAGTGAATGCAAGCGGGGGTTCAACATCCCCTTCTTTTTGTTCCTCTTTCCCTCTTCGTGTTGAGTAGCTAATATTAGCTTACTGTTGCTTGGTAGCACACTGCAGCTGCATAGTTGCAGTCGTGGAAAAATGTTAGTCCCTGCAAACAGTTCAAGTAAAGTTAATCACATCTGTGTGACGTAACACCCCTGGTCAGTGAACCAACCAATGAGCAACAGTGGCTGACATCATAGACCTATGACAGCGTTCCAGAAATCAAGCTGGAATTGGGCTAATGCAAACCCGCTAAACCCCAGTTTGAACCCAGGCTGTGCCGGGCCTTGCTGTGCTAAAAAGTGCTAGATGTGGCGAGTTTTTTAGGTTCCTTAATCTCATAGTATAGATGCCTCAATCTAAACACATGGTTTAGAGGCCTTTTTTTGAGTACATGGCTTAGGTTTGTCAACCCAGCCATGTGGTTTAAGAGTAACCAAGGTGCCTCAACTTAACCATGTGGTTTGGATGCTTTGACCTCATCACTTAGTTAAAGTGCTTTAACACAAACATATTTTTGAGGCGCTTTGAGCTTCTTGTGTCATTCAGGTGTCTTAATTCAATAAAGCAGCACCAGAGAATTCACATTAGTTATCTCTACTGTTGTTCTCTGTAGCAGACCAGTTCACATATTAAAACTGTCAAACGTTCCTATTGTTACAGTTTGACGTGTTGTAAAACTGTGTACACTAACATAAAACGTAGAACTAGTATTTATCGGAGCTCACGGGTCAATAAATGTGACAGATTTATGAGCAGCTGTGAGGCCGTGTTGCGGCGCAAGCCTCGAAATGAACTCGTTTTTATGAAAACCTTGGAACCAAACATCTAGAAAGGCCTTTTATTGGATGAATTTGAGACAATGAGATGCATACTTTATACCATTAAAGAAAAGTTGTGATTGCATAGTATGTGAAAATGATCCTGCAAAGTACTTTCTATTCAGGTTTTCACACAAACTGTTAATTTCAACCTGTTTTTTTATTTTAGAGAAATCTATAAAAGCCTAGTGAAGCCAAAACTCATGCATATTTATCACCTTTTCAATCTGCGCTGAAAGAAGGGTTTGGGGGCGGTAATGTAGATCTACACCCTCCATGTCCTTTCTTGGTTTGACCCTCTCAAAGCTCTTTGTGTTTCCTCCTCTAATCAACAAACAGGTTGGCTGCATTTTGCTTCAGTCCCTCAGGCCAAAGTCACATTTTCTCAATTGTTTGGCTCATGCTTTTCATGTTGTAGCCCTTTATCTCACAGCAATGTGGCTTTTCTGTGGCACCCCTCACTCTCATCACACGCTGTTGTTTGGTGCTTTTGCCATGTAAAGTCTGGAGTGTTTAACTTTAAATAAAGGCAAGTTAACCACTTCAGGCAGAGGCAAGTTTCCCACGGCTCTTCACTCCCTACTTGATCTGTGTTTTGGTAAATGGCCTTATCGTGAGACGAGAAGAGGCTGATTTTGAACACTGCATCTTCAAAGATAAGTGCACAGACCAAAATTAAACAGAAACATTCAAACTGAAATTGTCCAATAAAGCAGACTTTTACTTCTATATACATATATGTACATGTATA